AAAAAAAAGAGGGAGGGGAGCTAGAGAGATGGCTCAGGAGTTAAGACTACTGGTTGCTCTGCAGAGAGCCTAGGTTCAATTCCCAGCACTCACATGGTGGCTAACAACCATTTGTTAACTCCAGTTCAGGGGATCTAGGGCCCTCTTCTGGCCTCCTCAGGCATTTCATGACACAGGTACATTTACGTACATGCAGACAATACACTTATACACATACAATAAAAAAAAACTTTAAAAAAAATTTAAGTAATATTTTTTTGAAAGTTTAGGTAACTTTGTTAAAGAGCTAGGTTTTCAGGGTTTTTGTTTGGTTAAGGGTTTTTAGTAAGCACACTTTTCTTCTTTTAAATCAGTAAATACAACTACAGTGTGTACTGCTTTCTCCCAGAATAGGATTACTACCACTGAAATATGCTTCTAGCAATAGCTTGAACATTAAAAGTTGGTTTTGGGTCAGCAAGATGGCTCAGGGAGTAAAGGGCACTTATAATCAAGCCTGGTGACCTGAGCTCAATACCTGGACCCTACATAGTAGAAAGAGAGAACTGATTTGAGCAGATTGCCCTCTGACCCCATCCCCACACAAAATAAATAAATAAACAAATAATTTTTAAAATTTTAAAGTTGGTCCCTGAGAGCTAGGCATGGTAGCATGTACCTGTAATACTAGCACTTGGGAGGCTGAGACAAGAGGATCACTGTGAGTTCAAGACCAACCTGAATTATATAGTGAGTTCCAGGCCACCTTTGGGCTGCATTGTGGGACCCTGTTCCAATCGCCCCAAAAGCACCACCAAAAAAAAGTTGGTCCCTGGTTCAAATGCTTGAAAGTACAGTAATTATTGCCATTTTACAATTTAACTGTCTACCAACCCACCAATATACCAAATAAGCAACTACAGTTTTTAACCATTGACTCTAAATGATTAATGTCTGCATTTTACCATTTTTGTCTGCATATTTTAAAGATTCATTTTTAAATTTTAATTATGTATATTTAGGTATGTGTATGAGAATGCAGTTGCCCACAGAGGGTAGAGACGCCTGCAACTGGAGCTAGAATTACAGGCAGTTGTGAGCAGCCTGACGTAGGTGCTGGGAACTGAACTCAGGTCCTCTGCAAGAGCAGCAAGCATTCAACTACTGAGCCATCTCTCAAGCCCCCCTTTTTAAAAAATATTTTATTTATTATTTTTATTTTATGTGTATGAGTATACTGCTTGCATATATGTGAGTGCACCCATGTCGTGCAATGCCGCGGCAGTCAGAAGAGGGCTTCAATTTCCCCTGGAACTGGAGTTAAGGACAGTTCGTAGCCGCCATGTGGGTACTGGGAATCGAACCCAGGTCCTCAGCAAGAGCAGTCAGTGCTCTTAACCACGGAGCTATCTCTCCAGCCCCGTCCCCCATGTTTTTAAAAAATTTTTATTTATTTACTTTTTGTGTGTGTCTGTGTGCACAGAAGTCAAATGACAACTTTTAGGAATGGGTTCTCTCCTTCTACCAGTGGGGCCAGTGTACTGAACTCAGGTCACTGGGCTTGGGACATTACCCACTGAGCCCTCTTGCTGGCTTTGTATGTTTTGTTGTTGTAGGTTGGTTAGGTTTTTTTGTTTAAGACAAGATCACGCTATGGAGACAAGCTGGCCTTGAATTTCTGAGCCTCAAGCTCCCAAGTCCAGGATTACAGGCATGGACTCCATAAGACTTCTTAAAACCTCTGATGCATATGCAAGGCTCTGTGTTCAAATTCCAGTACTCCTCCAAAAAGAACCCCACCACAACCCTCTCAAACATTGATGTTTTTCAAAAGTGGAAAATTATGACTACTGAAAGTAGAACTATGTTTAACTGACAAAACTATAAAAAAGAATGATGATGTATTTCTATGACATGTAAAACTTCCTAGCCAGTATTTTTCATATCAGAAGTTATGATACTACATTAAATTTTAGACTGCAAACTAGAGTGCACCATTGAACTGTAAATTTCAAGCAATTTTTACCTGGTGTCACACTCATCTCTAGAGAAAAGTTAAAAGTGACTGAAACAGAGGCTGGAGAGATGGCTCAGTAGTTAAGAAGACTGATTATTCTTGCAGAAGACTGGGGTTCGAATCCCAGCACCCACATGGCAGCTAACAGCTGTCTGTAACTCTGATTATTCTTGCAGAAGACCAGAGTTCGAATCCCAGCACCCACATGCAGCTAACAACTGTCTGTAACTCCAGTTCCAGATGATCCAACAACCTCTTCTGCCCTGTGCCAGCACTGGATGCCCGACACGGATGCAGTTACCTACATGCAGGCATAACATTCATACACATAAAATAAAAATAATATTTTTTTAAAACTGACAATTTCACAAGATTTTATACATTATTCTCAAAATGTAATGAGGTGACATTATTAGGCAGTAATGGAGAGGTGACAGAGTAGCCTATTATTCTGGGAAATTAGAGGGTTGTACTCCCTCCTATCCTTACAATATACTTTTGCCAAAGAAACATATCCTGTTTTTTAAAGCCATACCATCTTATAAGGGAAATCACGTTTTAGTCTTTTGGAAATCCACGTGCCACTGCTGGGGTAATGGTGTTCAGTAACAAAATCCCAGGTACAAGGCTTGGGAGCCCCAAGAACCTGGACCTTCTAGTTCCCCGCCTTGGAGAGCCCAAGTGTGACCTTGGGGAACGGCCCAGGTTTGGAGACATGTCTATCTTCCACGAGAACGCTCCAATTGCGAACGCGTCGAGGGTGGGTCGGGCCCCAGCCGCAGACTCAGCAGGTAAGCTCGGCCACCGTCCGTCCCCAGCAGGCAGTTGCTGGGTGTCCCGGGTTCTGCACCCAGGACCCGCGCCTGCGAGCCTCCCTCCATCCCTGGGCCCCTCTCCGCCCTCCACCCCGCCGGACCACTCCGGGCGCTGAGCCTACGCCCCCGGGGCTCCTGCAGACTCCCGCGCACTCCTCCTCCACGCATGCCCCCGGCTGCCGGCCTCCCCACTCCGGCCACCCGCATCGGGGCCAGCGGCTCCTGGGGACCCGTCTCACCTCCGCGGTGAGAGATGTGTCTACTGAGGAATCGCTGCTTCTTTCTCTGGTGCAGCAACGTCGGGTACTTCAGCAGCAAGAAAGAGGTCACCAGATACCCCCCCAGGGTCGAGAGGAGGCAAAAGGCGGCGGTGGACGACATCGCGGGTCCACACCTTCTGGGCCTCCGAAACCCGCTGCGGCGAAGACCACCGCGGCTGCGGCTCGAGGTCCGCTCGCCCCCAGCGGGTGCAGCCGGCGAAGCGCACTTGGTCCCACAGGACCAACGCGCAGGCGCAGCCCGACCCTTGCGTCGGGTAACAAAGGAGTTCCGATACGCAGGCGCGCTGCGGCTGCGGGAGAGAAGCCCTGCGGAGGTGTCACCAGAGCTTTCTGTGCTTGGTGCTGAGGTCGGACTAGAAATGCTTCCAAGATACTTTAGGAGGCAAAAGCTTGGGAACATGCCAGGTTTGGGCCCCCCCCCTTTCCCATCAATCAAGCAGAAAAGACTCTTCCAGGATAGCCTTCAGAAAAAGATAATTGGGAAATAAGGGAAAGGTTCTAGGGCAAGTCAGCCTCTACTCTAAGTAAAGTGTTCACTTACCCAGTCATTTAAAATAAGGAAATTTAGGGCTGGAGGGTGTAGCCAGTTGGTAGAGTATGTGCTTAACAGGAGTTGGGCACGAAATTCAAGCCCTAAAACGGGAAACAAATAAACCTGCAAGATCATATTTCCTAGAAAGACTGGCAATTAAATTTCTTGTTTCTTTTTCATCCCACTCATTACAAACGACTAAGAACTAGGTACCGCATTTGGATGGGGCATTTGGATTGGGGCGGGGGAGGCGTTAAGTGTCTTCTGTAGCTCAGGCTGGTCTTGAATTCACTACATAACAGAAGATGGCCTTGAACTCCCGATTCTCCTGCCTCAGCCTCAACCTCTGGAGTTGCTGAGATTACAGACATGTGCTACCATGTCTAGCTAAGAACCACATTTCAATGCAAAGGAACTAACCCCAAAGGCCAGGGCTGTAGTTCAGTGGTAGAGCACTTTCCTAACATATACAGGGGTCTGGCTCCATTGCCAGTACTTCAAGATAATCAACAAGTAAACCCCTACTCACTGTATTGCTCAGGCTGACCTCAAACTACATGGGTCAAGCAGTCTTCTGCTTCATCCCCCTGATTATCTGCGACTACAGGCAAGGGCTGCTGCACCTGGCCTCTCCCATATTTATATTTTTTTATTTCAAAATTTTTACACATTTATTTGATTTGTGGGTGTACATGTTAAGGCCAGAGGATGACTTGTGGGAGTCAGTTCTCTCCTTCCACCATGGGTATCCTGGGAATCAAACTCAGGTTCTCAGGCATGGCAGCAGGCTCCTTGATTCACTGAGCCATCTTGCTGGCCCAAGTAACAGCTTTTGAAAATGTGTTCAATGTGTTAAGCACCATGTTTCATATATATTGATACTAAAACCTCTAATACTATTATTACAGTATTTTTTAAAAATGTCTGGGGAAAATAGAATTAGTTAAATGACTTTTGATCTCAATTTATTTTGCACTTATCTAATTGCTGATATGTCCACAATTGGTGATACAGTGGAATGCTGGAAAAAGTTACCATAGATTAAGATTTATATCATTTAGCAAATTGTTTCCTAGTATAGGAATTTAATTCAAGAAGACATTTGTTTCAGGCCTGGTGGGACAGGTCTGTAATCTTAGCTACTCGGGAGGCTGAGGCAGGAGTATTGCAGAATTAAAGGACTGCCTGGGCTATAGAATGAGTTCAAAGCCAGTCTGGGCAATTTATCGAGACACTGTCTCCAACTATAAAGTACAAAGAGGGATGGAGATAGTCTTTATTGCCTGGTACACAGACCTGAAGCTCAATCCCTAGTACTGAAAGAAAATTCTTTTGGACAGGTGGGCAGCACATACGTTTAATCCTAGCAGTAGGCTGAGACAGGATTAAGCTTGAGACCTGATGGAGCTCAGTTCTATGGAAGGTGAATCAAAAAAAAAGATAGAGTCCAGCTGTCTCTTGAAAACAAGAGAGTGTCCGCCTCCCAGTCAAGGTCAGAACACTGCTTTGGGATAGTAAGAGTGATAGTGGATGGGCTTGTGTTTTCCTTTCTCAAAGACTAGAGCACTGGGAAAGAGTTTGGTTAGTAACAGAGAAGAAAAACACCCTTTACTTTGAACTTTGCTTGATTTGTGTTTTGTATGCTATGTCCTTGGCTGACCCTGCTCATTAGGTATAAAGAGCCACTCTTATGGAGATATTTTCCAAAATAGAAAAAAATGAGAAAGCCTAAGGAAATGATGAAGGTCTGTGTAGGTTTGTTATATATAAAGGGTGAGACAAAAATAATATACACATAATCTTAAAATTTTTATGGTCATAATTTAGTCAGCTTGTTTAAGGAACACAATATATATCTAGTCAAGGTTTATTCGAGAATATTTGGTTTTTTACCCAAGCCTTATCTACATAGCACATGATAATTAAAAGTACCAGACTGGTGGAACTAACCTTATTGGATGTTTAACAGCCATAGTTTGAGGCCTATACTAATGTGGTCAGGGGGACTTAAAGAACAGTTTTTTCCCCTTGCCCTCCAAGGTCGACTAAGTTCCAGGGGGCTGTGGAACATCTCTCAAAATGTCCTGTAACTGTGGTGAGTCACCTGTTCTCTTGTTCAGGGAGGACATGGAGACCCCACAAGATGGACTTGAACCAGTGTCCTGTCTACAAAGAGGAGGGTCAACTCAGAGGAAACGTCTCATTCATGCTTCCAAGTGAAGCCAGACATGGTCGAGCAGGACCTTTGACTTATCTTCACATAGATGGAATTGGTAAAAGAAAGGAGCCAGGAGCTCCTCCCAAGTTCATGTGACCCCTAAGGAACAGATCCTCCAATGACCTTAAATGTAAAAATAAATTGATTTATTTGCGCCAACTGTATGGTCTTAAACACCCAAAAGGAAAGTATAACCAAAGAGTAAAGTCATCAGTATATTTCTTTAAGTGTTCAAGGGATGACAGCCAGGCGTGGTGGTGCATGCCTTTAGTCCCAGCACTTGGGAGGCAGAGGCAGGCGGATCTCTGAGTTCAGGGCCAGCCTGGTCTCCATAGTGAGTTCCAATACAGCTGGGGTTACAGGGAGACCCTGTCTCAAAAAGACGGACAAAAAAAAAAGTTTAAGGGATGGGCTGGAGAGATGGCTCAGCGGTTAAGAGCACTGACTGCTCTTGTAGAGGACCCAGGTTCGATCCCCAGCACTCACATGGCAGCTACAAACTGTCCTTAACTTCAGTTCCTGGGGAAGGTGACGTGCTCTTCTGACCTTTGTGGCATTGTACGACACAGGTGCACTCACATACATGCAGGCAATACACTCATACACATAAAATAAAAATAATAAAAAAAGTTTTTGGTCTTTTTTTTTATTGTCTTTTTTTTTCAGAACTGAGGACCGAACCCAGGGCCTTGTGCATGCTAGGCAAGCACTCTACCACTGAGCTAAATCCCCAACCCTAAAATAAAACACTTTTTAAAAAGTTCAAGGGATTACACTTCCCAAACATTAGGCTAAGTCTATATAAAAAGTTATTTAGACAATTATTCCTCATTGATGATTTTGTTCCTAACCAGAAAGTTCTGCTCAGATTTAAGACTTGAAATCTTGGTCTTATAGTGCCCACCTGTAGCCAAGGGAGACAACCAGCTATTGTTCCAAAATGATGGATAAATTTGTTTTCTCTCTGATTTTTTAGTGTGCACACTTAGGTCTATAAACTTCCCTGCTTTTAAAGTGTCCCATAGTTTTTGTTGTGTTGTGTTATCCTTTCTGTTTAGTTCCAGTAATACTTTTATTTCTTCCTTAATTTCTCCTTTGACACCTTCATCATTCAGGAGTGTATTGTTTAATCTTGATGTGTTCATGTGGATAATGGGGTGTCTTTCGGTGCCCTGTTCTTTTGTCTAGTTCCCTGTCTAGAACTTGTAATGCTAATTACCCTTGCCTTTACTTCTCCTTCACATCTCCTATTCAAGGACTTTCTTTTCCCCCTAGAGATAAGAGTTAAGCAATTTGGGGGTCTGTTAGATAGACCCAGTGAAGGGGTACTCCAGTTGCCTCACCCTGCATCCCTGATCAGTATGGAAGAAGCCAGAACAGTCTGCATCCCGATTCCCTATTCACAAGCTGGGTAACTGCTCCAGAGGATGGTGTGATAAGAATAGAAGGTAGGAATTGGCTAGGCAGTTAGGGTAAAAAGACCCCAAAGTAAAGTAGCCAGCTTCTTGGCTAAAACTCACAATGTCCTTGGGCCTTTAAGCAGCATACTCCATTCAAAAGGCCAAAAATGTCAAAAATATTTGGGAGCTTTTATCTAATCCTTAAAAGATTTTAGGATTAGCAGGGTGTGGCGGCGCACGCCTGTGGTCCCAGCACTTGGGAAGCAGAGGCAGGCGGATCCCTGTGAGTTCAAGTCCAGCCTGGTCTACACAGTGAGTTCCAGGACAGCTGGGGCTACAGGGAGACCCTGCTTCAAAAAGACGAGAGAGAGAGAAAAGTATTTGGGAGCTTGTACCTAATTCTTCAAAGATTTTAAGGGTTATCTTTTCAGAGGGAGGAATGTTAGAGTAGCCAAAAGCCCCATTTAAAAAAAAAAAATCAAAGAAGAAGAAAGAGTATGTGAAGTTTTCAGAAAAAAGTGATGAGGCGATATGGGAGGAGTTGGAGGGGAGGTGTTGGGCATGGATTTGATCAAAACACCTTATATGCATGTATGAAATTCTCAGTAAATTATTTTTTTTTAAAAAGAGTCACTCTTAGAATTAAACTCGCCTTTCTTCACCTGAGAGTTTGGTCTTTTGCCTTCAATCATTCTGTCGTCCACCAGCAGACTTGTCTCTCTAGAGACCAGTCTGGGTTATAGAGTAAGTTGAAGGTAAAGTAAGATCTTTTATTTAAAAATAAAAGGGGGGGGGGCTGGCAAGATGGCTCAGCGGTTCATCAGTTCAGAACACTGGTCTTGCAGAAGACCTAGGTTCGAATCCCAGCACCCACATGGCCCTAACTCCAGTTCCAGGGCATCTGATGGCCTCTTCTGTCCTCCGAAGGCATTGCACAACACAGGTGCCCTTACCTACATGCAGGCTCATGACACTCATACACATAAAATAATAAAATATTGAAAAAAAAAAAAACAAAGCCAGTGGTGCCTTTATGCCAGTGATCCCAGCACATAGGAAGTATAGACAGGAAGACCAGGA